GTAAAATAATAATATAAATAATGAATAGTAAAATGTAATAATTGTTAAATTGACTTTTTTAGTACTTAATATTAATAATTCGAATGAAATAAACTTTTAAAAGGAAAAGATGTATGGTATTAAATAAAAATTAGCACTCAATAATAATACATCTTTTAAATTTTTTTCTGAATTAAACCGATTGATCTTTATAAATAAATAATATACAATTTTAAATCATTACTATCTTTAAGTATACAGTTTTCACTATTAAAATTATAATTCGCTCTTGAAATACTATTCAGATAGTATATTGATAGAATATAAAAATTTGAAAAAAAAAATAATTCCAAAATGAGAACATCAACCAGTAATTTTGCAGATGAGAGCTTCTACTTTGTTTAGGAAAGAAATTGGATGATTTTTTTTAGATGTTTCGAGTTAATTAGTATCAATAGTCGGTGAAAATTTATTAATTTAGCTTTAAACAAAGTATAAATTTATCAATAATATATATGATAATATTAAAGAATAATAAAATGAATTTTATTTCATTCTCTAATATCTACAAAAAGGTAATATTGTTAATCATGTAAAATTTCAGCATGTATTAATCTAAAAAGAATTCATTCAAGTAATTGATAATTCTTTAGAAATAATATAATACCTTAATATATGAAAATAAATTTCTTTTTAGAGAAATTGTTAAGTAAATTAACAAAATGAATGGAAAATAAAACATATATCAATATTAAATACTAAATTAAAAGTATTCTCAATATTGATTGATTAAAAAGATCATTTAAAAGAAACATTTCAAGACTTATTAGGCAATATTGCAAATTAAAAACGAATACGATTATCAATTAATGTTTTGGAGGAAATAAATTATTTATATGGTGGAAATAATCTTAATTAAAAAACATTATAAGGAAAATATGAAATAAATTTAACCAGGATGTTTAAATATTTTCAATAATTAAAATAAGTAATGAGTTTCATCCAAACCACGTGACACTCTGATTAAGTGTAGGGCAAAACCTTCATCTCAGAGTAATAAAACAATTTAATGTCAAAATATTAACTCATAAGTAATCAAATTAGGAATATAAGTTCAATTAAACCATTACCCCATGTAGACCAAAAATTAAAAGTCTATATATGTTTTGACTCTGGAATTCTGAATTAAACTTTCAATTCACCCAACTAAATATACTCATCATAAATTTTTACTTTAATCATGAATAAATTTTCACAAGAATGAAACAGTAATAACAACTGGATTAATTAATATATAAATTCTTTTATGAGTAATTAACATCATGATTGTTTATCTTCAATTTGATTACCAACTCCAATTAAATTTCAAGAATTAGATGATAAAAATAAATGGTCCTGATGGATATTTATAAAATAAAGCTTAATTATTTATAGTAAAAAAATCATATAGATAGTCTGTAATATTTCATGTTTACTTCAATAAATTAAACAAAAATTTATCTTGAATTAAATTTATTTTCTTACTCATCTATTCCTCAATTACAAAAATATCATTTCTAAAAACTTTTATGAAACTTAAAAAACTCTAATAATTTATAAATTATATTTTAATTTAATGATCATCATAAAGATTAAAATTATTCCTTCTCTTTTCCGATAAATGTAGAAAATAAAAACTAATCTTTTTTTGATCTAATCTAAATTTTAGGATCCATCAACTTAAACTATCTTTCTATTTAAGGATTTAATATATCAAATAATTATAATTGAAGAAAAATGTTAAGTGATAATAACATAAAGCTTTGAGAATAATAATAATAGATCGTACCAAATAATTTTAGATAGTATAACAGCTCTTACAAGTGAAAAATCAATAGAATTTTCCCTATTCCTATTTAATGCAAAAAGTCTTGTAAACTTAACATATAAGCTCCATCAAGTTAAATAATCTAAAACAAAAATTTAGGCTGAGTATTTATAATATATCACAAAACTCTACGACTGAAGTAATATTTTATGATGTTATTTAATTTTGAGGAATTGTAAAAATTTGAAAGGAAATCTCTAGTCTAAAGTGGAGTCTTCTCAATTATTATTCCAATACCTATTCAATTCGCTTTTTCTGCAATTTCAAATTCTAATATACAACTTATCTTTATAAATGAAAAATAATTGATATGTTTTAATTAAAAATAAAGTGGAAATATATAATTAATTATAAGCTTCATTCTTTCCAAAGAGCAATTTGGCAAATATTTTTATATTATGATCTACTTTTCTCTACTATTAGAATGAAATTAACCAAAATGATATCATGACTTGTCAAAAAATTGTTTAAAAATATTCTCCAGCATCCTTGAGATAAAATTATCAATTTAAAACCTCAAGAACTATAAAAAAAAGTGTGAGTGAATTTAAGGACAATCAACTGAACCTTGAGTACAATATGTAATGGCTTTATGCCAACACCTAATAGAACTAAAGGTGCTTATAAGAATCTATATATTTCCAAATAAGTTTAGATGAGAAAAAAAATTTTTTTGTCAAATTTTACATAAAATTCATTTTGTATAATATCGCTATGTTTTAGGTTGTCCAATTTAGCAATTGCTAAGTAGCCTTCTTATAGATCACTTATACTTTCATTTGTAATGAGACATGCATTTTTGTAGAGTGCCAAAAACAAAGGCCTTTTGATCCTTATACCCTAAAATACATTATTAAAAATGATATTTATCACATGAGTTCAAACTTTATGTTGATTAGCATATACAATCTTAAATAAATTAAAATTACAAAGATTAAGATATACAATCTAAAGTAGTTAAGCACTTTATATCGAAGGTAAAATTTTAATTTACATATTTATTCTATTTAGAACAATGAACTAAATCCAATATTTAAGAGCATGAAGATTTTACACAACAATTATTCTAATTAAATTAATATGCATGATTAGAAATTTAACATTCAACTGTACTACTCCAATGATATGTACTACCAGTCTTTTTATAGCAATCTTAAAATGATTTATTTAAAATCATATAAGCGGCTTATACGATTAACAAAAACATTATTTGCAATTACCTTAGTTTGTATTTCAGCATGCTTTATCAAATAAAAAACATTTATATACTTTTTAATTGAGCACAATTAGATAATACTTAACAAGATTAGTTTAATAAGTACAATGTCACTCTTATCTAATACTATTAGCACATAATTGTAGAGAGTTCATAATTTAACAAATTTAAAGATATCGTCTATCATGACGAATTCCATTTAAAGAAAAAGGACATAGAGCTGTTTAAGAAAGACATTCTAAGGAATTATTTCCTTTAAGTCTAGTGCAAAATTCTTATATATTTATAAAGGAATATTTTGACTATAATCACCAATTTTATGATTGCTTTTAGAATACATCCAATAACATTGGGAATTTTATATTCAATCAATCTAATTTGACGAATCACAATCATAATTATTATCAGTAAAAATACCATTTTACCAAACAGGAAAATAAACTACATTCATATTGAGTAAATAATTAAGAACATAAGCATTGATTTTTTGGAGTAATTACTTTTGATTCTTTAAAAATAAAAGGAAGACAAAAACCATCTCCATTAGGACTCCATTTGGCAGTATAATCAGAATAAATGTAGCAATTTATTCAGTAAATAGATTATCTGCAGATATACAAGCTCCATTAAGCCATGAACATGATTATATATAATTCCAATTATTTTGATTAATTGTGAATTAGATACATATATATAGTTGCATAATGCTAAATTAAAATCCTTACATACTTGAGGTTTTAAAAAGAATATCATTCACATTATGGAGAAGGAAGATCTTTATTATAAAAAGGACATCTATTAGATTAAAAAATACAATCTTATTCATCACCAGCTTTTAGAGCACTACAAGCAAGATTTTAATAATTTGCTTTTCAGACAACTAGTTCCATCATTCTTAACAATTTTTAAATTCTTAGCATTGGCCTTCAAGCCAAGTACATAAGAATTAAAAGTCCATGGTAATTATTTAGTAATGCTTGAACATTATATAGGTTAACAATAAGAATTGGACCAAACAAAAGAAGATTTCTATAAACAAAGGTATTCATTGACATTTATTTGAGAGTTAAAGATAATTACCAATTTATTTCATTTCATGATACACAACTTGATCCTGTCCATTTATAAGTATCTACAGTAATTTATAAACATTATTGAAAATCTAAACTATTAGGATCAATTAAATCCTTACATTTTCCATTTTACCAAATAAATATTTTAACAATATTCATGTACAAATTTGAAATGAAAATTTTTAGTAATTTTAAGTTAATAATTTCTATACACTACTATTCATATTAAATTTGAATACAAAATAATTACTAACATTTATCCATTTACTATTTATAACATTGACCTTAGTAAGTTATTTGCTCATATTTGAAATAATTTTCGCATTAATTATTATTTAATACATAATTTTCTTCAGCCCAAAAATTTTAATGAAAAGGAATCGGAATATATTGGACTATTTAATGAACTACTAATACATTGCACAAGAGAGCTAATCAGATATCTAATTAAAACTTAATTGATTATATTCACCATTTATCTAATACTAATAATTTGATTAATGAAATTATACAGAAATAAACTAGAACATTAACATTTACTGCTTGGTTGACATTTATTGCTAATAAATATAGCTTCTACTTAATAAATACATGGAAAACATATTCCAGTATTATTAAAGTTTTAAATCCATAAAGTTTAATATCTACAACTTTCAGCATTTATATCTTGCAAATTTGAAATTGACTGACAAACTCCATTTAAATATTTGTACAGCATGATTATTTTAGTATTTAAACCAACTAAAACATAAGTACAATCAAGTTCATTTTAAAAATTATCGCATTCTAATTATATAATGTATTTTGAAATATCAATTATATACATTCTTATTATTATTACAAGATATAACTATTTTTCATTTATTGGCATAAATTTGTTTGGAAATTTAACCAAGAACATTATGAATAATCAAGTCATCTTGAATAATTTAGTTCATTATCTCTTTGAATTAACAAAATTTTCAAATTTTTAATTTAATAATTTATTCATTGATTAAGTATAGTTGCTTATTGATAATCAACAAAAAAAGTAGAGGGACTACTTTAATTTGGAACTTTAAAAATAATGTGTTTAATATTAAGAACTATCTCAAAACTACGAAAAAGAGTAAAAGGAAAAATTATCGTTGGAAAATGCAATAAGAGCCGAGGATGAATTATTTTTGTAAATTAATTCCTAGATTCAATAAATAAATTGAGCAAAAATTGAAAAAAATTTTAAATTTTAAATTTAATACGAATCACTTAATCATCTGAATGAAATAAAGAGAAATTAGAAAAGATAATTAGAAGAAAGAATAATGACTTTAAAAAATGATTTAGAACAAGTATCTAAATAGGCAATTAACATAAATTATAACCAATTTTAGGAATTTTCGATTAAATTATATTACCACACTACTAATATTAATAATTTTAACGCTTAATAATGAAAACTATTGGAAAAATTTATAAGATATAATGGATGATTGGAAAAAAGAGTATAAAATTTAGAATAAGATTACGAGAAAAAAAAAATTTTATTTATAAGAAGATTAGACAATATTTTAAGATTAGCAGAATACCCACTCATTAAAAATATAGAATCCGTAAATTATTGATTATAAAATCAGGAAATTAAGAGTTATAAATAAAAACCTATTCATGCATCACCTCTCTCCCATTTAAAATTTTTTTCCTTATTCTCAAATATTAAAATATCTTTGAATTACCTAGACAGATATGTTAATTTTATTTCTAATTCTAAATTTACTTAAAAATATTTTATGTCGTTTTTTTGAGATTAAAACTGTTATGGATGTTTAAGAGATTTAATTACAAATATTTAAAGTAAAAGATCAAAATATAAACTTAACTTTAGTAAATGATTATTGAATATAATTAAATTTCTGATTCCTTAACAGAAATAATAGACATATCAATAAAATTACAATTAGATTTATATTAATGATATTTGGATTTAAATTCATAAAGGTAGAATTTTGAATATTTATAACAAAAAAGCAAAGAAGACTTTAGTAGATTCATGATACTTAAAGATGAATAACTTTTAAGTAACTTAAAAATATAATATTTATTTGGTTCTCATTCATAGAAAATTATGTAGAAATATTATTTTAGAATACTCAAAAGAAAGTGTTAAAGAAAAAAAAGGAAATTGAAATTGTATTATAATGATATCATAGA